CCTGCGAGTGGTGGTGGTTTCGCGCCAGCGAAGCGTCGGTACTGCGTACCGGGGTGCTGCTAATGTCATTCTTTTTTGCAGTACTACAATCTTTGCCTAATGAGATCAAACAAGTTCGAAACCGGCCATGGAATGCAAGGCTGCGTGCTGAAAACATCATCATCGTCATTTATTTCGCCGGAATTCGATAGACTTGTTTCTTCTTGCTTCTTCTGGAGTGGAAGTTTTGCCAAGTAACCGACTAACAACTTAATAAGCATGACAGTTCTGCTTAATTCGGATTCAGCAGCATTCTAAACGTTACTGAATAGGCTGACGCGTCTCACTCCGCATTTTAACACTGCATGATGTTTTCGGGCTAGGCCAGCACACCAGCGGTTCTAGCTATCATCCCACCGTCTCCATCAGCGTGTCAGCGAGTACTAGGCAGTGATAGCCAGTCTAGTTCCTTAGAACAGCAGATAGCACTGAATAGGTTGCGTTGGCTTGGGTACGCACTGCGTATGCCTGGTCACCGCTCACCGAGGAAGGCCTTGTTTTGTTTGTTAGATGTAAGGTGGCGTAAAGCTTTTTATCACTGACCGCACTACAACACCTGGCTGTAGAATACATTTTGCTCTCGGAACCTCAGCAATTCTCCATTCCAAGACACAGCGTCACGCTTCTCTGTGCTACAATATAATTTTAAGACTAACATTCTCAGGACGATTTTTATAGCTCAAAATAAGCGCAGCTATGCATTTCGTTTGTAAGCACTCGTCTGTTTAGTCACCTACTACCAGTCGGCCATTTCACTTTTTTGACATTCATTAAGGAGTCATCTCAGTCGAAGCATATAGCCCATGTGCTGGAACTTTCATTTTGCGATCCTTCCGGTCGATGAACTTTGAACAAAAGCGAATTTTCTGGGGGCGCAGTGCAGTGTGATATGTCATTCATAACTATCATCATTATACACGTTCGCTAGAGGTGGAACACACAACTGTTGTGCCGCAGTGTCAAGGAAAAGAAAAGAGAACACAGAAGCACGTCGTCTGAGTCACCAGTAATGGACGAACATTGTTCCGGAGTGTTAACACCCGAGTATTATGTCACAAAAAGGAGTTTCATTATGCGCAAAGTGAAGATGTGATCGATGCAGTCTCGATTTTGACGAAACGTGGCTTGATTCTCACGAATCTGGCCTTCATGAGTGCTAGTCAGTCTGTGAAGGTTGACATGCAAGCATTTTGGAGGCGATGGAGATCAGACTAATTCCTCTATGTTTCAAGTCAAGTCAAGGAAAGCTTTATGCACCTAGATGGATGCATTTTCAGCATTTTACACTATCTATCACAAATCTGATAAAACAGCATCAGTAAATGTGCGAATTTTGCAATCTCCGAACGGGAGGCTTTCTTGAGCATCCGGCAATACCGGAGTGGCGCCAGTCTGTTGGAGCAGTGTCCTGCTCCCATAGTTTCACTAGTAATTCGTGTACATCAGCAACAAGAGCAGGGTCCCTGACTTTGAAGAGGACTGGTTTTATTCAACTTCAGCAGTCCGATCTTACTTTCGACTTCTGAGCGAGAGGGTGGATCTAAAAGGACCGCCCAGAGAACAGTGGTGTCAAAAACAACTGTTTATCATTGTAATTCCACCTTGGATTTCTTCATTTCTACTTACACCCACATCATACCTTTAGTCATCTTTGTGCGCTGAGTTTCCCGTTCGTTGCAGCTCAAGGGACTGTCCGCGCGCCCGGCGCGCGCACTGTTCTCGCTTCAGGGAAACGCATAACTTAGGCTTCCTTCTTGTAATTTGTACCTGCACTGTGCATTTGGAAATTATCATGACTGGATGGGCCACTACTTGTCAGAGATCAATGAGGTTCATGAGCCGGACGCTCAATTGTGCCTGAAGAATGCTTTTGACGCCTGCTACACACCTAACTTGAGACGCCCGAACTATGGATGGATCTCTGAGGCATCGATCAATTTGCCGAAGCACAGAAACATTCCAGAGGGGACTGAATTTCAGCGTACCCGTAACTCACTGAAACGGTGACTGACAAAGTGTCTTCGAATTGCCCATTAACGTTGGTTGGTGGCAAGGGTCTGTGAGATGGAGATAGACGATGCTATGGTTAACAGGCGAGTGCTATTCCAGCTCATCCAGAGCACGGGTCTGAGAAAGTGATGTCAGTGAGACGGTATTTGGGAAAGATGGACGGTTGATTCTTTCTTAGTCCATTTTCTTCTGTCGTGAGTATTCGTTGCCCTGTTACCAGCCCCACCGTGCTGAAGGTCTGTTTGAGATCGTGACTCATATTGTTTACTTACCCCTAAATCCTTGTGCTTTGTCCAGTGCTCAGCGAAGACATCGCTTTTGTGGGGCGTGTGTGCGGCGAAGCCAATCTGCTCCAACCAGCTACTGGCACGCACCAGCTAGAATTTACGATATTTTTTCCCCTTTAACGGAAATAGGCGACTCGGTGTTTCCGAGCCTCGCCTCCTGAGTGGTCGCGCCGATATGGAGCGCAGCTTGGCTGTTAGCAGCAATGTCGTTGCACTAGTATGCCACACTCACATTAGTGCTTTTATCCATCCATGTCCACTTTATTCCACAAACGTTCCTTGTTTACTATTGCGTTATTACAAACTAAGGTATTGCAAATCGACTGCTTCACAAATATGATCGTCAATACCAATCCACGAGGAAGAGGTTTTGAGTCGTAGATTGGCGCAACTCCATCTAGTTTGAATAAAATCGGGCCAACAACTTTGTGAATGCGTTGTTTTGTACAATACCCAACCTCAAACATTATCGCTCCAGGCAAGAAAATAGCACGCATCACTTCTGCTAGCTCGGTCTCCGGTCAACTCCTTTATCCACGTTTGATATGCATCGACTGACTGCCTTGGGGTTTCCCCCATTTGGGTTCAGTAGTGCTATGCAGTAATACTGTGCCAAAATTGGTACCGTTCTATTATGTACTGGTGTTGTCTGCCCATTCTTTCAATTTGAAATTGAGAGACATGTGAGGTTGTTTGCATCATCATGCGTGGTGGTAGCACCCAAGCTTATGGATGATATTATTTTTAGAACTCTTTAATTTGCCATTCCACATGGGTACCTTATACAAGCTGTTTTACCTATTCATGCGATATACCACTCCGATTTACTTCGTTTTGGATGCCAGTGTACGCAGAATGAATAGCCTCTTGTCTACCATCTGCAATACAGTTTTGGGCTCATCGCCATGGGTTAAAGAATGAAAGAACCATTTTACCGTTTAACCCCCTCGGCGGTAATACAGTAGTCCAAATAGGTTAGATTCTAGCAGAACGCGAGATTTTCACCTTTCACCATGAATCCAATATCTGTCAGTACTCTGTGTGCTCCATACTGCTTATCTTGTTCCATCAAGTCAGTACGCTGTGAATGGTCGGCGCACATTCATCATATATTTTAAACTTTATCGTCATCAAACAGCAAGACACATTTGAAATATCCGCTTTGATTCTTCAAACAATTTTCGAGCTAACGGGCATTCTCACTCTAGGGGGTAGCCAAAGTGACTTCGTGCTTCCTTGACTGATTGGTGTAGGGCAAAGTTCGTCCCCAGATCATTGACGTCCCCCACTAGCTCACCAGTCGTCGGATAACAATATAAATCATATCCGTCAATTATTAACTCAATTAGAGCGGGCGTTTATTTATATAATGATATGACGTACACCTTAATGACCTATCATATATGCCGTATTGTTACGGCATTATTATGTGCCCCATGTGTTTTGCACGCTGCGCTTCCCATTCTTGACTCCATTGGTATCTCACACATTGTCCTTAGTCACCAACGTTTCCCACACAAAACTTTGGCGGTTAAAACACTGTTCGCGTTCCTCTGCTTGATTATCCCTACCCCATCTTCCTAATACCAACCAATTTGTACGCGTCGCTCAAGTTTGTGATACACATTAGCGTAGAAGCCGGCTGTCGCCCAGACCAGTCACTTAATCTCCGATCGATAAGGATGTTAGCTTGTTCTCCGAGCTGGTGGTTTGTCAGCAATTGCGTTTTCAGACTAGGCTTGATCTTGACAAGCGCAGCTTCTTCGTAATTTGCTCTCACCTTACGTTTGCCGGCGGTCATGCCTCAGAGATCAGACGTGGAATGCATTTACCATTGAGCGTCACAGTCCAATCACAAAGCGGTCAACAGTTACCTATCCTGATGCAGGCAAGCGAGTTCCTCATTGTCCACCTGTTGTCAGCCGCACCCACAATGGTTCCACATTTCACAAGTTTCTGTTTGACTGCATGCGAAGAGGTCGAGTATCTGCTTATTTTATGTCATCGGCAGCCGGGTGCCTTTTCCTCCTGGAAATCGATGTTCTGAAGTTTTTCGATAACTTGTCTTCACGACCACTCACGGGTGCAGTTTGTCACAACTAATGCCGTTATCTTAACATTAGTCGTTTTCGAACAGGTTTCTTTGAGCGTAGGGCATCAGCGGAACAACGGTACCTTGTACTGACGCTTCGCTCGCACTCGGTCACCACCAGTCCTATACGAGTTATGGGTACTTCGAGATCGTCTGCACCAATGCAGGCTCAAACCGGTGACTTGCGGATTACAAACCAGACACCTGGATCACTGCCACTGTTCAACGAGGGTACTCTTTGCCAGCATCTTTCGGCCCTTTTGAGTAATTCTTCATGGTTCTTACCGGTTATCAGCTCACCCGTGCCTCCAACAGCTAAGCGCCCGAGCAATGTTGTATCAAATTCATTAACTTTGTTTCTATTTCTTCTCTTCTTGTTCTTCACTGTATAGCCTGAATTGACCATCTTCTGCATCAGTCTCACGTTCTTCGTATGTCTCGTATATTTTCGACGCTACGATGCCTTCCTTCACCCACCTTGCTCTCATCCTACCGGCCATAATAGCCAATAGACCACTTTCAAACCGTTTCAATAACCGTCTGCTTTCCATGTTTCTGATTTTCTTCCACAGATTGCAGGAATTAAGGGGCAGAATGTTGCAACCGAATTAGAATCTTGCCTGAACTCCGAGCAAGGCATACAAAGCTGTGTGATCTCGCACTCTACCAATCAAGCCCGCATCACCTACAACCCCAGCCTCATCGGCGCCCGTGATATTGTCAAGCGGATAGAAGTGAGTTGACCACATTGTTCAGCTGGTTGTTTATTGTAGTTCAACATCCGTTGCTTCTGCTTTCATTTGTCATCGTGTATTTGTAATACCTTTTCTATTCACACACTCGACACTTGAAGGAATTCTATGTACTTTAATTTGATGAAATATTCCATGCATAGACATCAGAATAATAAAATAGTTAGCGAATAAGCTCTTATTTTCAGTGGTTTTTCGTCAGGCTAATACAAATTTTGTATTATAATTTTTTGCTTCGTAGTACCCGGCTGGTAGCTTTCAGGAACGATGCCCATCCGTTAATGGAAGCTCAGCTGGCGTGCACTTGTATGTATTTTTCTTTTCCTATGTATTACGGCACAGCAGCTTAGGTGTTTTCCACCTCTAGCTAAGGTATATTATGATGATAATGGTTATACACTACGAATAAATGACCTGGAAACGTAAACAACTGGTGAGAGTACATGTTCTGAAGCCTACATGGACTGAACGCCCAAGCTAGGTGATTGGTTCCCCAGCGACCAAGAGTGTGTGCGGTGTGGTAACCACCCCTTGTGACAGCGTTACAAAGGGCCAGGGTGGTGTGAGTGCCCGAACGCATTTCTTGTGTGCCCATATGTCAGGGTCATAAAGCCGAATGGCAATCGCTTCGGACGCTGCCAGTGGGCGATAACTAATCGAACGTGTATGGCGTCTGGGTACGCGGTAGAAGGGGGGATCGCCTTTCGTGCACCTGGTGGTTCAAGTCAACCCATTGTGCAGACACAGCGCTTGCCAATGGTCTAGTCAATCCGCTAGCACCACACACACCCTCGATCGCTCTGGGACGAAACAACTAGCTTGGGCACTTAGTGCATCTAGGCCTCTGTATATCCACGTCCACGTTTCGCTGTAGTATCGAAGAACGGACAGCACAATGGACGGTAAGCTTGTGGTTGTTCCACACTCGGTACTCTAGCTTCCCGAATGCAGCCGCTGCCTTTGATACGTAGATTCCAAGTTCATTGTATATTTGCTGTCACTCGAAACCACACAAGCGGGAGGTGGTTTCCAATACTTCAGCACCAATGCTGATTTACGGCACCATCATAGATTTCACCCATGATGAAGACTGAAAGTGACAGATAGTTTTGCTTGTGTTAATATTGAGCTCGAATGTGGCCGCTGTTGAAGCCACAGCACTAGTCATGTGTTGCAACTCAGCTGCGCTGTGTGCAAACAACCCCCAGTCGTCGGCAAACAGCAACATACGGATAGTTTGTAGAAAGTAGAAGTCACGATTAAAATTCACGCACAATAATATGCCTCGACGGGGAGTCGAACCCTACAAACTTTACCCTACTCACAAACTTCCAACATTAATCTACCATCGCCCCTTGGACATTTGAAGGACAGGTATTTCGGCCCATTGGGAAATGACGTGTGAGTGAGCCAATCAGGACAGGTACTGTGAGCCTATTGGCAATACGTCGCGCACCAAGCAGAAGTCATGTGTTAAAATTTGCGCACCTAATCGTCAGCCCTCGGTAGCTCAGGTGGTAGAGCAGCGGACCGGAAATTCGTGGACCGGGGTTCGACTCCCCGTGGATGCATATTATTGTGCTTGAATTTTAATCGTGACTTCTACTTTCCACAAACTTTACCCTACTCACAAACTTCCAACATTAATACGGATAGTTGTCTCACACTAGGGTTCTGGCTCAAAAACGGCGGATGTTCAGCAACCCACCATCAATACGGTGCTCCACACGAACGGCGTAAGCACAAGCGGCATCAAAAGCATTAGACATCATTGCATGAAGATATATATTAAACAGGGCAGGAGCTAAGACAAAGCCTTGCTTCACACTAGAGATAACTGCAGTCATCCGAGGTCTCTGCTCTCAGCTGCACTCTCGCGCACATACCACTGTACAGACATTTAATTAAACTTACAAACCTAATCGGACAATCACACTTACCCAACACCAGTCACAATGTCTCTTGGTTCACCGTATCAAACGCTTTGGTGAAGTCAACAAACAGCCAGTACAACGGCTGGTGTCGTTCTCTGCACTACGCTTGCAACTGAGGAGCCGCAAACCATATCGATGGTGCTGCCCATGGTCCCTCTGTAGGCGCAGGCGTCCTGTGGCTGGCCACAGTGACAGGCAAATCCGAAACCGGATGCCGCCAACCATATATATATATATATATATATATATATATATATATATATATATATGTATATACATATATATATATATATATATATATATATATATAAACTTTGCAGTCATTTCCGGTTTATATTTGACACCTGGTTGTTGCTGGTTAGGAGTTGTGCTATGAACGCTGATTGTTGAGTACTGATTATCCAACTGCGGCTTTGTATCTTAGGTTCCGTTGGAACTACATTAGCTCCAGACTTCCAAGTGTTTGTCTTACAGTACTCAACATTCATTTTTCGCATTTGTGTGAAGAATTGGGTGCAGTGATCAACTATTATCTCTGGAGTTTAAGTACTCCACAACACTTCCTCGCTTTAGAGTGAAGTTAGAAATTTGGAGTACAAGGCTCAACAACTTTCGTTCCGAGTGTCCATGTCGGACTATGCATTTCAAGAAAACTCGCTCCGAAACATTTTTGGAAAGTGAACGACCCCGTCAAGTAACTGACTAGCTCTTACCATAATGATGTTGATGCATCACGCTCCGGTTCACGTGCTAGGCATGAGAGTGAGCATATCAATATATCCCGTTCTTCGTGCGCCGACTTCAACTTAGCATATAAAAATCAGTGTTGGGTCGCGTACAACTTACGAATATGCGATGCGAAATCCCTTTCAGAATCGCTCAGGAATGGAATAGATGACTCTGAAATCCCTTTATGGGCCTACGTGACAGTACTCAAGTAGTCGAAAGTCCGGACCCAACGGCGTATGTGTTGGGAATTTCTTTATCTTACTCCCCCTCCCTTAGCTTTACTTTCCAATCACGGTTTCCCGATACTGCGTGAAATAAAACAACACTTTTTTGTTTTGTTTTACTTGTTTGCCTTTTCCTTCTTTTATTAACCTGTTATTCAATTGCACTGTGTTTCCTATTCTTAGCTGATGTGTCAATGAACAATAAATGAACGGGTAAAAAAGCAGATTCTTGACATGTCCCGTAGGGTGTCTGAGTGAGAAAAGATAGGTCAAGGGATAATGGAGTCGTCAGTTCGCGCGATTACAGCTTTAACTGCACTGCCGTATAGAGGAAGTTTGAAATGAGAATGTACGCACACAAAGCAGTAAAGGGAGTGGTTATTGATCATGTAATAGGCGAGAAAAAAAATAAAAAATAGCAAGGACAACGCTTATTCGTGTGCAACTATCTTGAGTCGATGGGATACAGAAATGCAGTTTCTACCGTAGTAGCGTTTATCAAATTTTGTTCAAGGGGTTTGGCGTGACTCGTTCTCGAGTAAGGTTCTGGCATTATCCACTGTCTGTTGTGCATTAGTGCCAGCATCTGGTGGTCATGGGCTGTAGCACGTAGTGTAAATGTGACAGAGTATCCTCAAGGCGTTTTTTGAAAAGGGCTAGGGTGGGAGCATTAATTATATGTTCCGGGAGGGCGTTCCAAGTCTGTGACACTCAAAGGGAGAAATAGTTACGCCGACATTCCAGTCGGCTGTACTGCGTGACCAGCTTAAACTGGTGACCTCTTAGCGGGGCGTTTTGGCTGAGTATCTAAAGGGAATGGCATGGGTGGTTGGGGTTTCTCAGGATCAGGTACACCATTATGTGATCGCCCCTTAGACGCCGATAACGTCCACTATATTTTGTGAGTCTTTGGCCTGAGTGGGTAGGGGAGGCTGGTCAAACCTCTGACGCTCTTCGTTGCCCCACGTTGTGCAGTATCGAGCACGATGAGATGGTGCTTGAGCCAGAGTTGCGACGCTTGAATAGCGTATTCCGCGTGCGACCTCACGTACGAACTAAGCATTTTTGGAAAGACTGAAGGGTCAAACTTCCCGAAAGCTCTGCGAAGAAAGCCGAGATACTGGTTTGCTTTCTTAGCTGCATTTTTAGTCTGCCTCGGACAACCGAGGTCATCATGAACTATCACGCCGAGATCGCACTCGTGAGAAGCCCGCTGTAGAATTTGTGGTCCTAGGCGATACTTGTGCATACTCTTTTGCCTTATGCTGAGAACTTTGCAGTTGGTGACGTTGAAATGCAGCATGTTTTCGATGGACCATATGTACGCTTTGTCCAGGACGTCCTGTAACATTGTGTGATCCTCCACTGCAGCTATATTACGCCATACCTTTAGATCATCAGCAAATAGCAAACAGCTAGAAGATAGCACGCTCGCGAGGTCATTTGTGAAAACCAGGAACAGGCAGGGTCCAAGTACCGAGCCTTGAGGTACGCCGCACTGAACTTCGATGGATTCCGATAGGTTGCTTCCAACCCTCATATTCAGGTGATGTTTCACGGGAAAGTCTCCTATCCAGCCCAGAACAGGATCGCCGATTCCATATTTCTGGAGTTTGTGGAGAGTAATGCGATGGTCTAGACGGTGGAATGCCTTTGAGAAACCCAGGTATGCCGCGTCGACTCCTACACCAGCGTCCACATATTCCGTCCAGCTTGCACAAGCAATCAACAGATTAGTAGTACAGGAGCGATTTTGGCGAAATCCATGTTACTCCGGAACGAGAATTTTGTTCTTCAGGTACCCCATCAAAGCCTCAGCTACAATGGACTCCTTAGCCTTGGAGATCACAGGAAGTAGTGTTCTCGGGCGTTAATTTGCTGGTTCAGCACGACTGCCACTTTTGTAGATTGGCGTGGTGATTCCGTGCTTCCACATCGTGGGACCTGCATCTCGTTCATGCATCGTTGAAAGAAAATTGGTAGTGGTCCTGACAAACTCATAGCAGCAACTTTCAATTGATGGTGACGAGTGGTGAAACATGCTTATTCTTATCTGAAAGAAAACTGGCGTTTACCAGAAACTCGTACTCTTTTGTAACTTATTGTGAGCTCAGTGTTGGATGTTCCTCCTCAGCTACTAAACAAATGGCCCCTGAAGTCGTCCCCATAGTCCGATTCAATTGATCTCCCAATAATCCGCATCGACGCCCACAGCTTTCTGTGATGCAGCCGCACAAGTGGATTCTTAGCATTGATGTGAATGAGTGCAACTTCGCATGTGCCGCGATTGAATACGCTTACTGTCGAAAGCGCTTTGTGATTAGAAGGCACAGTGATTATTTGTTTCTCCCGTTGCTTTCATACCTTTTGCGTTTTGGTGCACTCCATACACCCTTACCTATCATCTCGAATAGCTCACTGCGACGACTATCACTCGCGTAAGGCGGTTCTCACCGGTTTATACCAAAGGGGCCAGAATCTGCATGGTTTTGTGCAGCCGAGGTTCTCTAAGTGGGCAGTAAACACACTTGTCGTTAAAAACAATTCATGGTCACAGCGCTTTACGTCTAAGTGCTTAAGGCTGATCTCCCTCCAGCCACCTAGTTTTGATGTGGAGATGCAATGCAATCCCCTCCGACCACAATTGTGGTGCCTTTTGTCAATGTGTTACTTATCGTAGGATAATTTGTATGCCATGAAGTGTCCTTTAACTTTGGTTATTGGCTGGGTCAATGACGTCGCATCTAAGTTCGTTTTCATTTCGATGGCATCGTTTTCTTATTGAATCATACTCTAATTCGAACGCCTTTGTCATGCATTAGAAGACGCGTTTGATATCGTCTGTAAATGCACAGTCCCAATCTAGTGAGGGCCTCTGTTTACGTATGTGAATCGTGTTCACAAGAAAGCACTCCCCTTCCGTTCATCCTATCCTAGATTCTTCTTTGCCACTACCAGAGCACATACAATCAAACCTTCATAAGTTGACCACCCAACGGACTGGACCAAATTGGTCGGTATGCAGAGGTCTCGATCCATAATGTTTACTTAGTGAACGTTCAAACAATTAAAAATCATACGGTCGATACAGAAAGGTGGTCACCCTCAGAGCGTTTGTTGTATCTTTTCTCGCTAATAATCCCACCTAACAAACAGCTATAACTACTATAGTCGGGGAATGCACTTGTGATTATCCTGCTACGTACCTCGATCACCAGAGGTGGGTACTAACAATTCAGCTTGGATCCACTTCCTCTGGTTAACGTTAATGCACTGTTTTCGAACACTAGTGTTTTCAGACTACTTGATCAATTATCTATATGAATCTCAAGTGCAATCCGCGGCGGTTACCATCTGCCACAACTGGTTAACCACAATTGGTGGTTCCGTGTTGCTCCACCAAACCCTGACACCCCATAACCGATTTCGTCCTCCTTTGGACTCATGAGATGGTGATAGCCTGAGCTGGGGTGGACCTCGAGGCCTAGTGTTCAATGGTTGACGCGTTGACCACTATGGCTCTAAAATCCGCGAGCTACGCTTGGCGCAGCGGTAAAGAATTCCAAGTGGCATTTGGTGTACCTGCTGTGTGGTTGGATTACGACTCTCAGTCTCTATTCAGACCTCGGTCCTCTTTGAAGTAGACCTCGGTCATTACGATCACAAGAACCGTATCCGAAGTGTTGTTTTGCAACCTCTCATCCACACGCGTCGGCTAACAGCTGCCTGTCTACTCGTGTCCGTTGCGTTTTGGAGGCTACCATTTTGACCCGCTTACTGACTTGAATTTTTGAAGATGTTCATTGTTTCTCTTTCACTGCCTGTTGTGATTATGATGGGCCAAAAGCATACACTACTGTAGAAGTACCAAGATAACCAGGCGGTAACTGGCCAACTGCAGACAGTAACAGCACCCCAACGGGAAGAATGCTAGGGGCCGCAGGTGTATCTACATTAGTAATCGATACAGCGGGACGATAAAGATGAAATAGCGCAATGGGGGAAATAAGAAGACGGGAAGGCTTGTGCAGTAGCATCCAAACCCTTATCCACCCTGCTCGATGCAATAGACTGGACGCCGTTTATTATCCTCTGCGGCGGCCAGAGCATCAAGATTATTTGTAGGAGAAGTCGTAATGTTGTATTGCGTGGTTAGAATACTGTCAGGTTGCTCATACGTTGACAGAACGGTTAGGGTTCTCAGCCAAAGCCTTTGGTTCAAAAACCTGATCGCAAGATAGTGGGAGTTTGGCACTGGACTTAAACCCCTTTCTTGGAGTAAGGAGCCAACCCTACTCTAATCCCCAACCTGGAGGGCCAGGAGACTGTGTTTATCAGGCCACTAGCCTTTGGCCAATCTGGTGAGTGGCTCTGAAGGTGCAAAAGCACCACCCAGCGTAGCCCAATGGATCGCTGAGGTCCGCAAACCATTGCACCGCAGTAAGATCCCGTCACGTCGCGATGGACGTGATACAGGATACACTAGCTGACATTGCGAAGAGCCGACCTCAGTGGCGGTTGTGTTGTCTCTTTTTCCCACTCCTTCCCTGTAGCTTCTCTCTCTAACAGTCATCAAAAATGTGATATTAGCATTATGTTACCTTTTTTATAGCTTTTGAATCTACATTGCTTAATGTCTGACTTGTTTGTATTGCGGCACATTAGCTGTGGTGTGTTTCTCACCCTCGGCTGTCTATTGATGATGATGGTGAATCGATACAGAAGCAGCACATGCCGCACAACTTCCGGGAAAAGGAAAGAGAGAGGGTTCGAAGATAAGTGCAGCGGTTGGTGGTCATAGCTGATGCATATGGTTGATGATGCTTGCCGCAATATGTAACTCGATTCACACCTTGAGTTCTCACAGAATGATATGATAGTCAGCTTAGATTCGCCACCAAACACTTCCTTGAATGGGCGATGAGTTCCTTGTCTAAAACTATCCATTTGAACTCAGAGTACGGGCTGCAAATTATTGATACAAACGACCACCTATCTCCGCACTAGGAAACACTTGGGCACAATTTGTCTGGTTTCTACTCGTTGATCAGTTTCGTTGGAACGGTTGTTATATCCTCTGGAAAGCGTCATTTACGTTGCATCTCTCCGCAATGCGAATTGACCCAATGCACCGAACTCCATCCTGGTTGCATTAACGCATCATATCGGTAGCTCGGGTTGTCCGTTGTGGTGTCAGTTTGCTCACCGAGTCGAATAGTTTGGTTGCAGACGTTTCACGACCAATCAGAGTGGTGTCTTTCATGCGTAACAACAATAGCTTGCTAGCAGTGGTTTAACTCTAGGCAGCTACGTTATTTATCCTGTACACACCGTTTTTGACAGATTGCACCTTCTCTCCGTTTGTTCGTTTTCAGACTCTGGGTTATCATGTTGAAGTTCAACATGCGGAGCTCCGACATTTCGATGGACTCAACGACAGAAACAGGTGTGTGCGATCACCTCATATCGTTTCTGGTGCTGTCGGGCCACCATTTTTGCGTTCATATTACATGCACTTGTGTGATTTGACTTCGAATGGGGAGCTTCCTCCGTATTTTCTCGTTCTCTTTCCAGATGGCGCAATTCATTCATCTTCAGCCTTTTCTTCGCCACTCCTACCATGCTGATTATGGTCATCTTCATGATCCTTTGGCCACATTCTGTGCACGAAGGTTGTCCCGCGTACTTTCGCAATCCCACTCCACACGAGGACACTGCTATTAACCACAGTAGTCTCCAGCCTTCCCCAGTTATGCCGTATCCACCCGATTCCGCGTCTCATCGTGAATATTCTCAGCCCATGCTTCTGCCTGGTTTGTCGCTGGAGAATTTTCTCCTGTTTTTGCTAGCGACTCCAATACAAGTGAGATTACTTGTAATATCGCCTTTAAATGGTTCTGTCCATAAAGTGCATAGAAACGAGCTAGAATAATGAGGAATGCGGCATCACGATGCTATGCGCACTTCAGATGTTGACAAACTGTCTCTGTGACGCTAATGACCGATCGCGGATGTGAAATGGCCAGTAAACAATCCCTTTTTTGCACATAATCCCGGTTTCAATCTCCGGACATATACCACCCCTTCCATACTCTTTGTTTCTATAAAATTTGGGTCAACACCCCACGCATAGACCTCCATGTAGGTGCTATTTTCATGTTTGTGTAGCAAAACCAATAGGATGATACAGCTGCGGTAGCCTAGAACGTTATGTGTCCCTACAATTCACATTGAATCAGTTTCGGCTATACACTACATAGTGTGAGAGCTGCCGTACTCTAGCTTCCCAGCACACAGAATCCGGTACCGGCATTCGTTGAGCCTAGCGTTGGTGAGATTGGAATACTGAATACTGGTTCGAAGCAGCGAGTAGAGCTCTCTCTGTGTAGCTGCATCATTCGTCGCTCTTGGACATATACTCCTTATTTATCGTTACGCTCTCTATATTTTGTCTCTGCAAAGTGTTTGTCTAGGAGCTTCTTAAATTCGGACACTGAGTTCGCCTCTACTATGTGCTGCGGCAGGTCGTTCCAGACATTCACCACTCTGCGTTCGAAACAGAGTTGGTGAGCGACCCGCTTTAACTTGGGTACAATAAGTTTATACCGGTGTCCTCGCGTGCAGCTTGGTGTGCGCAGATGAAGCAGTTGTCTCAACATGGGGTAATCACTCAGATGTAATATCCGGTGCGTCATGATTAGGTCAACCCTCAGCCGACGATAAGCTAGGGTGTACAGTCCTAGTTTCTTACATCGGTCTTCGTATGGCATACCTCGTAAGTTGGGAATCAGCCTAGTGGCTACATGCTGCACCCGTTCAAGTTTTTCTACCTCGCCCAAGGTGATGGAACAATACGCGGGAGAGCCGTACTCTAGCATTGGTCGTATTATCGAGACGAGGAGGCGAGTAGCAATCTCTTCGGACCAAGTGCTGAAGCTGCGCCTGCGCGCCCAAAGCATCCGAAGGCTGTTTTGGTACAGCCTATTCGTGTTGTCAATGGACTTTAGGTCGCAGCGTGAGAGCACACCGAGGTCGCGCATGAAAGGCGCGGGATGCAACGGTTGACCAGCCACTATGTACGTTCGGCTGTGCTCACACTTACCCAACCTCATAAATTGCGACTTGGCATGGTTGATCGGAAGGTTAACCTCTACAGACCATGTCGAGAGGCGGTCGAGATCCTGCTGAAGTAAATCACAATCATTGAGTGTGCGGATTACTTTCCACACCTTCAAGTCATCTGCGAACAACGCACCATCGAGAAGCTTCAGTATCCAATACGTACCACACTTGCCATCACTCAGTGTTGGTTTATGCGTATGTGTGTGTGTTGGTATAGATTACTGTCATCTGCATGGCTAGCATGGAGTTTGATGTGGATGTATTGTCAATGGATTTTCGGAAGAGCTGATGATGACACACAACAGCTCAGTCAGGGATTGTGCGATGAAGCATACAGATAGTTCAACTTGCGATACATTGGTAACCGCCTAGTGGTTTTGAAAAGCTGCATCGATAGATTCACTGATATTACAACCGGACATATTTTCGCTGCTTCATAACCTAGTTTGCTCAATATTTATGAGTCAAAATCGTTACACAACCCATACGAATAGTAGTTTTGCTTGGGCGCTAATGCGTTGTTTGTCTTGACGGTAATTCTAAAAGCGCTGTACTTTCACGCATACACTGTGGGTGTGGCCATCTGTGATTGGTTGGAATGACGTGGATGTTAGTTACGCGTCGTAACTAGTCCCAATTGCGGACAAGCAGTTGTAGCGTGCGGATCGTGGTAGTAGTGAATCCGTGTATGAGTGACGTGTCGTGAAAGCCATAGAGCGTTTTATCAAACAGTGTTACGCAATTAGCTTTTGCGTCAAACTCGGGAATTTCGGGAGAGACGTTGGAAATGTTAACTACAGCGTACCATAAGGATCCATCGTGTTTAAGTGGCAGGCCTTCAAAAAGGGATAAAAGATGTTGAGAAGTTGTGTGATTCGACCTGTCGTCACCAAAACAAACGAAAACCTGGACTGTGTGCAAGACAGTTTGAACAGTCATCGAGGAAAGAGTGTGCGATTTATCGCAGAGGAACCAAACTTGCTCAAAAGGCGTTTATGTAATTTTGATGACTTCGTCGACGACTCCATCACATTCGTCCTGAGAATTGTTGGAGCCTGGGACAGCACAACCAAACTTTCTACAGGAGGTGATTACAGGAGATTAATGTTGGATCATTGAGTACGATCCAGAGCCCAAAAGACTGAATTTCTAATAGCACAGATAAGGGTCATCCCATCCGAAGAAGGCCTGTTTGAGATTGTTGCGGGCCCATCAAATATCCCCGCAAAAACGCGCCACAAACTCCGGCATAATGGCTGTGGAAAGCGGGGTCCAATTCCTCCCCACAACGTAGCAGTGATCAGCCACTCCGAGACGCGGCCCAACTGCGCACCTGTTGACAATATTCTTTTACAAACTACCACCCCGTCGTGGAAGCTATTTTCCCTAACTTAATGACCCATAGCATTGGCTGTAATTTGCCCTTTGTTGGTCGTAAAAGAACCGTCAGAGGACCACTTGCTCTTCTTTCTCCGCCGTTAGTTGGGAGTCGGTCGGGTCACGTGATTTTGTGTGCGTCCATAACCGGGCAACGTTCGCGTCTAAGGCACCGTAACCCCTACCCGAATACGTGCGGCTAGGATCGTTCTCATGCTCGCTCAATTTCCGTCTCACCAGCGCGTACCCCGGGCTAAGCTAACGCCATCAGGTCAGCGCAAATCCGTTCGATTGGCCAGTGTTCCAATCCGTTACCCTAGGCTTGCTCCAACCGTGCCAGTGACAATCTTATTAGGCTGTTACGCAATCATAACAGAGGCGTTCCCTCAATCTATAGCAGAGATAATCAAAACAGTGTTCCCTATGTTCTACATGCTTCTAAAGAAGTCGTCCGTTTATCGTCGACGTTTGTTCCTCCTGGACAAACTGTAAATGCACATTTTTACGTCGAGGAACGTGAACTCGGGCGTCAACACGTCCCTGGTACTCGCAGAACTGACAACGGTGATCGGCTACTTCAGCTTTGCGCCAATCAGGGCCTCTCTCTTTCGAGCACTATCTTTCGTAGACCTCCATCACCTGACCACCCGTAGACAAGAATTGACCACATCGCCATTAGCTATCGTTGGCATGGTAGCATACAGGATTGCAAATCAATAAATCGCAATACTTGTAGCTCGGGTGATCTGTTCAGATTTTGTTCTGTTCTCCGAGCTGAACGGTTTCGTTGCAGACGTTTCATCACCAATCGTGGTGACTTCCTCAGTGCGTTATAAGCAAATTGGTTTGTTTTGTCGATTCTTACCGACGAGCGAGTGACATTTGAACTTGCTCAGTTGGATTCAGGTCCCCATCACCACGATTGGTCATGAAACGTCTGCAACGAAACCGTTCAGCTCGGAGAACAGAACAAAATCTGAACAGCATTGCAAACCAATCATTCACGCCCTGGTGTGTGCCCAGGTTGCGCTACGTTTGGTGACTCCCAGCACCGTTGCCAGAAATGGCTTGACGTAGCTAAGGTTTCTGCCCCTTACATTCTCCGCGCATTTCTGGATGCTTTGGCCTCACGGCTGAAGACTGCCTCATGCACAGACATTGAAACACACTGGACACAAATCCGCGGCGCCATATACAACTGCAACCATGGTCTGTGGCTTCATGAGTAGTCCTATCAACCACTGGATTTCTCCACGATCCTTCCAACTCCTCGAAACCCATCGAGCAATTCTAGCGTCAAATACTACTCACTACGCAAGACTACTTACGCTGGGCTCAAACAGCTTCTTTGGGAAAATCGCAAAGCCTGGTGGACGCAGCGGGTCATTGCGATGGAGCAAGCGGCTGCATTGGGGAATTTCCATATATTTTTCCTCCTGATCCGATCTACCGGTTGCAGAAGACTTACTGTAAGCGAAGTTTTATGCAAATCAATAGCGAGCCAATTCACTATCAGAAACGCCGACTCGAGCGTTAGGCCGAGCATTTTGAGCGGCAGTTTCATTGGCCAATAGCACCAATGAGTTCCCTTTCTGGAACCCAGAGCGCTCCCTGGTGTGTAGACGCTTCACCACCATCCGAGGCTGAGGTTGCCCACGAGTTTCGCCTCTTAAAGCGCTACTAGGCCCCTGGCTCAGATGAATTCCCGCTGGCACTTTTCAAAACTGGCGGCCCAGCACTTGTTCAGGAGTTAACTTCTCCAAGAGATCTGGGTCACTGAAGTTGTCCCATCTGATGGGAGTCTAGCGGATATCGTGCCCGTCTGCAAAAGTGGTATCCGAACTGATTGTGCCAACCACAGAGGGATTAGTCTCATCTATGTTGCTTCCAAGATGCTCGCAGCTCTGTTTCTAAGGAGGCTCAGCCTGGTACGCGAGCAGAGCATACGTGAAGAGCAAGCTGGGTTCCGCTCAGGTCGGAGTTGCATCAATCACATCTTTGCACTCCGCCAAATACTCGTGGGTCGTCAAGCATTTGGATAGCCAACAATCCTTGCCTTCTTAGACATACGAGCTGCGTTTGACTCAGTCGACAGAGCTGCTATCTGAAGTTGTCTACTGAGAAGGGGAGTGCCCGAGAACTATGTCACCTTACTTCAAGTCACTTACTCTCAAACCTCGGGCCAAGTGCGGTTGTACGGCCGCAAAGAATGTTGAGAGGCTGTCTGTTTTGATCACCGCTATCTTCGGAGCATTGCTGGTGTACGATGACAACGTCACACTAGTATTGAAGATGTTCGACGGAGGATGTTCAGAGCAGACAGACTGCCGGCCACCAAGCAGAATAATTTCTTTGCGCAGACTT